CCTTGTCCTGTCCGGAACTTTCTTCCGGTGCTCGCGTTGGAAAATAACACTTCGCGTACATCGTATATTCGGTCTTGTTCCTCGCAGTAGGTGATTGTAAGTTCGCATAGCGCTCTTAAGACTTCCGACATCTTAAGGAAATACGGTAGCCCCGCCACGGTGGTCTAGTGGCTAAGGCACTCGGCTGCTGACCCGCAGGTCGCGGGATCGAATCCCGGCTGCGGCAGCTGCATTTCAGATAGAGGCTGAAAGGTTGTAGGCCCGTGTGCTGAGATTTGGGTGCACGTTAAAGAACCACGGGTGGTCGAAATTTCCGGAGCCCTCCATTAAGGCCTCTCTCCTAATCATATGGTGCTTTTGGACGTTAAACCCCACAAATCAATGAGGAAGTGGTCGTTAGGGGGCCGCTATGTCACTGGAACTGGCGTAAGCTCAACGTGCGTGAAAGGGGTAACGCTGCCGTGCCGACTATTCGTATTTGCGTAGCGCATTTCCGTAACTTGCTTAATGTTCTATAGCCGCGCGTTAGAACCGTAGACGATTTCGTCGTGTATCTCATATATACCGCTGTAGCTTACACTGCGAATGACAGCGCGTTTGAGAGCGCACGTTTAGGTCCCGAGCTGACGTACGAAATTCCGGGGCCTTCTAGAGTGCAACTTGTTGCACGGGGGATCTCTTCACCTTACACATCGAGTGACCGCATCGTGCACTATTTCCGGCTTCGTTTCTTCCCTATGCCTTGATAGCTGAGAGTCACTGAGCATGTCGTCGATACTCCTCGGCAACTGTTTGTCTCGGTTCTATTAGGGTAGAAGCTCCTCATGGTCTAGGGCAGTCCCTTGTCACTTCGGCGTCTTCCTTATCATACAATAAATGGCGCTGTTCATAGAGATGCATGCAAACTGCTGTTGGGTGACGATATACTAGATGACGCTGTACGCATTCTGTGTCGTCATCACCATTTTTCGTCTAGTTTCGTAGACGGCGTTGTCCAATAGAAGTGTGACGGTTGGGTGAATGGACACTAGATGACGTTGGAGGTGCCACTGCTATCATATTGGCTGCTGCGCGGGGATGCGCCGGAGCGCCCATTATCTCTCTTGGATCGCGCTTGGTGGCTCGAGAGGCTGCCGCCAAGCGAGCGCGGCGCCGGGCGAATTCTGAGACGGTGCGCGCCAAGGACGCCGCTAGGAAACGTGCGCGACGAGAAGCGGAATGCGAGTGCGGAAAGCGGCGGCGAAGCGCGCGGCGCCGGGCTGACCCGGATGCTGCTCCTCGGAGGGTTCGCGGTATCACCGTGAAACCTTTGCAGCGAAGCCCACCAACATCTACTCCATGGAGATGCTGGAAATCTTTATCTTCCCTTCTTGCACCAGGAGATACTACGCCAAGAAGGCCGAATGAATAATTCTTGCCTTACAAACGACAGTAGCGGGCATGGCGGTCCATATGCGCTCAGCATTTGCCGAAAGTACGCTCTTGCTTGTCCACCCCGCGCATGCTCCTGACTACGGTAAACACGTTTGGCCTGCAATCACTGTGGCGTCTCCCTTGCGTTGTTGCTGTCCAAACAACCAGAGCGTCTACCTATGCCGAGGGTTTGATCTTAGACAAGTCTCGACCACTTTTTGAGGGGTGCCATTGGTGGACGACGCAGATTACTATCAACTCACCTGTGTCTTTTCTCTAGTCCCAAACGTTGTTACCCGCTTTCAGAGTTGTGACCTACTCGGAATTGCAGCGCGTTATGACTGATTTTGAGGTGGCACGTTAGCTTTTTATCTTGTACTTTTTCGAAACACGTTGCCTAGAAGGCAGAAAAGCGTACGACTTCCAACACGAATGAAGTGCTGGGGCACTTAAGCGTCGCGACAGTGCCGATTTCTATCCGCCCGAGGACGCCCAAACGTGCCGCGACAACAGCAGAAGACTCAAGCCGAAATATTCTTCTGCGGCTGCGTGCGGCGAGCAGACGACCGTGGGCGACGCCGTCTTCACAGACTCCGGGCGTCGCATGACGTCACGAGCGTGTACGCACTCTCTCTGACGTGTGGGAGAGAGTACGTACACGCGCGTCGTGAAAGAAAGAAAATAAACACCCAACATTGTGGGGGGCGAAGTGGTCTTGACGATGAGGACAGTGGGAGGAGGAGGAAAAGAAGTTTTGGTGCCCTCTGGCTGCGCCGAAGGGCAGCGGAAGTTGATGGCCGTGGGGCGCCTGCATTTGGTTTCGCTCGGCGCCCTCTTCTTCTTTCGTGCTGGTCTTCACGGTTGCTGTGCGTGTTGCTTGCTCCGTTCTGCTGGTGCGCAGACCCTCATCCGCGGCGGGGTGTTGTGTTTTGGCTTTCAAACCGGACGTAAAATGAGTGTGCGGTGGCTCGGCTGCAGCACGGCTTGTGTGTCGTGTGCACGACGCCTTTCTCCTCTTCCTTTTTTTCTGTTCTTTTTCCGTGGTCTCCCCTCTGCCTCCTTTTGTCTGACGTGCCTTCTCGTGTAGCCTGCACGGCGGGAAGTGGGAAGGGTGCGAGATAGGCATCTCTCCGCGCGGCATCAAATGCCGCGTGATCGTCGTCGTCTGTTGGAGTGTACGTCTGCTTTCTTTCTCCCTTATTTCTCGTTGTCGTCTGCTTGCCGAGGTTTAGTTTTTCTTTTTTGCGGTTCCTGCCACGCCACGTTTTCTGTATTTTATTTTTTATCTTTTATCTTATGTATATCGTATTTTTTTTTCACTCGTTGCGGTCTCTCCAGCTTTGTTGCTGTTGCTCGGGTCGTTTCCGTGGCGCGCGCGGAGGGAGACTCGCGGTCGAACGGGTCTCGGAAGGGCTTCTTCTTTGGAGTCTTTTGAAAGGAACGAAGGGGCATGTCGCGGGTGTGTGCGATCGAAGGTCGCTCGCCGCGCAGCGTGACGCGAGAACACGTGCAGAGATTGAGAGAAGTGCAGTGTGGCGGGGGAGAGGTCATTCGTTCGACTGTGTCGTTCAGTCCACTTTGGCCTGAGCAGCCGGTGCCACGAATGAAGGAAGGCGAGGATGCCTAAGGCGGTCTCTCGGTCGCTTTTTTGTTAATTCTTATTTTGTCTATTGACCGCCAACGAACAGCGGGATGCGTCACTTTTCCCAAAGGTCGGCCTGGTTTTTGCTACAGAAAGGAACAGGCGACGGCTGAAAGTGAGCCGATCTGCACTGGTGCAAACGAGACACGAGGGTAGGGTGGGTGTAGATGCGTGCTCGCGATCTTCACTGATGGCTTGTTGTTACAGCTGGGCAGGGGCGTCACGCGTTCGGAAAGCAGTGCGGACAGCGTCTCCTATTCTAAATTAGGAGGGAGCGCGCGTCTCTCTTTTTCCTCTTTCTTGTGAAGTTTCTTCTTTCCTCTTTTCGGTACAGTTGCAGTTTCGTATTGTGTGAGCACGCCAGATCGTAGGACTTGCATGATTTGCGATTTTGCGAATGGCCAGTTAGATATTTATTTTGTGAAAGCATTCTTCGGTAATTTAAGCCTCTCTCGGGCATAAGGTGGACGACTGTCCCGCTAAAACGCAATAAAAGTCTGTAATGTATTAAGTTTCACTTGTAATCACTATCTCGAGTACAGTGATAAACAAAACGTTGACATATCTGCAGCTTACTGTTCACGACGCTTGCCTAAACGGGCATACTTGTGGACGCACATTTCGGTGTGTCGTTGTTGTCCTTATTGTGTTATCAATTCAACATGTACCGTGGTTACATTACAAAATGAACTGCGCATGTCGCTTGCAGCCCTGTAGTTCGTATGCTGCTTTTGTTCGTGCCATGTTTCCGTTATCCGGAAGTAGCACCGACAGGTTCAGGCTTAGACTAATTTGAAGTCCCACCGTACTGCGCTGCTTCAGCGTCCTCGACTAGTGGAGTAAGTCATAGAGGGGTCTGGAGGGGGGGGGGGGGTACTGACGCCTCTTGTGCCCAGGTTGGGGATGACACCCCTCCCGACTGTCCCCTCTTGTATCGTCTCTTTCAAGTAACAATATGGCTGCACAGTTGAGTGTGGCGCGTTCAACTTCTTGAGCGTTTTTTTTTTAATTTTTAATATTAACGTGTACCGGTGTTAGCACCCCTCAGCTATGCGTGTATTGGGATGGAAACTGCCGCTACATCGTTTTCACGAAATGCTCAATAGAGCAGTGAAATTACGCGAGCTGAAAACCGATTTTAGGGTATTATATTTAATTTTATATAAGGAGAAATAAAAACTAGAGCGTTTCTAGGAAGTAACGGCCGCCATGGCAAAGTATTTGTCCCCTTTCGTGATCTTTCTGGACTTACGGCACTGTTCGCAACCACTTGTAGACTTGTACTCCTGGCTTGAATCATATCTGTGAGCTTTCATTAAACGAGACCAGCGTACTGTCGTTTTCGGCTTGATGAACCCCATCAGCAGTCGAGTTTTAGTTGTGTGTCAACGCTGAAACCGGCCTGACGTTGCGTAAGTATGTAACTGTTTATGTCGATGGAAAAAGTTCCGAAGTAAGGAAAACGGACAACTCGCACGTTGCATACATTGCTATAACAGCGAATATGAGCTTTAGATGTTGCTAACGAATGTAAATGTAGTGGTAAAATGAATGCAGTATCAAGAGTTTCGTGTTTTAGGGGGCGTGTGGCAGCTTGGGCTAGTTGGTATGACATGACGATAGTTATAGCGCGAGAACAGAACGACGACAAAGAGAGGGTGAGGCCTCGTTACACAGCAGTGCCCTTAGTTCGGCTAGCGCAAACAAAAGAGGACTGGGCGAATGAGGACAACGCAGTTTGTTTGCGCCGGCGTCCTCTTCAACTCTGCCACTTCGATGAGCGACTTAAAGGCTCAAAGCAAGCATTGCTTCCACTTGTTCCGCTTACTCTTGCAGATTGGAAAACAAGAAAGTGGCGTTAGTAATACAATGACCATTGGGGGGAGAAGCCTTCGTCTGGTGGCTGTCCACGTGGCAACAGCGTGTGGTTCTTGTGGTGACGCAGGCGGCTTCTCGGAGTTCCACTCTCGCTACCCCGAGTGGTGCGACAGCGCGGAGCCCGGGGCGGTGCCTCCCCCGGGCGTGTCGGTGACCACGACCCGGGCCCTGCTGGGCCTGGAGACGCTGCGCATCTCCACCGAGTGCGGCTCGCCCAAGGACCCTCGCGACGACCCGGACCGCTGCGACAGCGGCCTCGCCCGAGACGACAGCCCCGGGGGAGCGGACCCGCCGTTTCCCGTGCAGATCGTGCCCTTCCTCTATCTAGGTCAGTGTGTGCACGACACCTTTCTCAGGGAGTATCATAAGGGGCAATGCCACACGCGCGCCTGTCAGCTTTCATGACGCGGTGCCCAAGGAGGGCCAAGCTGCCCTCTCTTCACGAGGAGAGGGCGCCGCGTCAAGAAAGCCACGCGCACTGCAAAGCCATGGCATTGGTAGTCGAGATCTAATCTATGGACGTGTACAGTGTTGGCTGTTTTTGCACGCACGTCTCGCTATATTCGTTCGATCGTTATCGCTGGTGCTCGCGTAAACGTTCCCGAGATAGTACTCGCCGTACGCTTCATCTGACCAGTCGAAAACACTCGAGGTGGTTGCGATACAATCGAGGGCTGCCTGCGCCCAGCGATAACACTTGCGTCTGCTTTCGATTCATTATTTTTTTTTTGTTTTTTTCAGTGCGCCAAGCCTGTCATTCTGTTGACATTCATTGGTTAGCCTTGTCCTTCCTGCGACAGTTTTGGCTCAGGTGTAAACTAACCATTAAGTTTAGTAAGTATTCATTTATTGATTGGTATGTGGGGTTTAATGTTCCAAAGCCACGATATGGATTATAATAGTTTTGTAAGTTTAACAATGGTAATAATTCTTGGGGTTCAACGTTCTAAAACCACGATTTACCGAGCATTACCGTAATATCTGAAGCAAAACCCTCCCCCCCCCCCCCTTACGGTAAAAATAATCCGACATTTCGAGCAGCGCAAAGGGGAGGGAGGTTCTACCGTGGTCATCGGGCAATATTAAAAAAAGTGGTGCAATAGCCACTAAAGAACAAAGGGTGCACACCCGTGGTTCTAATGAAATACTTTATTGAGTACGCATGTCTTCTCTGTTTCTAAAATAGTCAAAGAAACAGTAAAAGTAGTGAAAGAAATCTGGCAGCTTGGGCTAGTTGGTATGGCATGACTGACGATACTTATAGCGCAAGAACGAAACGGCGACACAAAGACAAGAAGCACACGAGTGCTATAACTAGTGTCATTCGTCTCCTTCTTGTTTCTGTGTCGCCGTTTTGTTCTCGCGCTGTAACTATCGTAGTGAAAGAAAGGTTGGGGGGTGCTTGCTTTGTGATTCCCGCATATTGCAAATCTCTCGAAAAAATGACGAGCCACGTAGTTGGCATTTTTGTCCTCCACCATGAAGTCCCGGTCTGCCTTCTTCCGCGTGATTATGTTGCGCGAGTTCACCTCGTTTTGGGCACAAGCGGAGTTAACAGCGTGTAGTCGAAAAAAGCATGAATAGGCTGAAAAGTTTATTGCTGATATTGTGTTTTATGAAGAGACAAGTGGCGAAAACAGAAAGGGCAGTGAGGGCAAGAAAGAAAGCACCCATCTCGTCTTAGAAACTTTGTCGTGGTTTGGGTTCGTAAAAGCGCGAAACATCGTTTTTTTTTATATATATTAAGTTTTCGTTTCCTTTCAAGGGACCCACAGTGACCGTGAAAGTCCGTGGCCACATGTCCGTGGACGCGCTCGTCCTTGGGTGTTGGAAAGAGACAGCCTCCGAAACGACTGCGTATAAACCCCGGGAGGGTTATCCGTGCACGCTACGAACACAAAGTGTACTTTGTACAAGACATCCCCGCGGCCTGTTGTAACACCATGCCCAGGCTAGTGGTGACAGTGGCTTCCTTTTTTACGGTCGCACAGTCCAAGTGCGTAGGAGGACTGCAGCGCCGTCTCGGACGGTGGTCGTTGACCCCGCGGTCCCTGGGTGTCGTGTGGGCTGGGCACACGTGTTCCATTCGGGCTTCCGCACCGGTCGTAAAGAATTATTCGCCCCGTTCACTTTACGACCCGTTGGGAGCCCCTGGAACAGTAGCGCATGTGTCGTTAGAGGTGTCCGCGCAGGATGGTCCAGAGTTGCCTGATGCGCTGTCGAGCTAATGAGCGAGTAATCGCCACTGAAAAGCCCCCCCCCTCCTCCTCCTCCTCCTTAAAAAAAACTGCGTGTCTTTCGTGAAAATTCTCGAAAGAATCAGAAATTTTAGTACACTTTCACCATTGTTGCATATACTATTAATTGTATGATAAAAAAAAACTGTTTCCCCAAGTACGAAGGAGAGTAAAAAGTTCACCGTAACTATTATGCACGCCCGAAATATGTGCAATCACCACTGAGAGTGCCTGATTGGTTCTAACCACTGTCTCCAGGGTATATCCTCCAGTGTGTTGAATGCCAGTGTATGGTTGAGGCTACTTGTGGAATCCCCACAACGTATGTTCGACTTCACCTCTCAAGTTACTCATAGTCAGCAACATACACGCAATCGGTAGACGTTATTATCACTAAAATAAGTATATATGTTAGAGAAAATTAATATAAGCGCCCCCCCCCCCCCTAGAAAAAAAACGCGGTAAGCTACTGGAAAATCCTACAAGGGAATCGGCGAAAAAAAAGATAGCCTTATTCCGGTTATTGTGACCGTGAATAGAGACTGTGATCCCGTGTACTCTTCCTCTCCCGCGTGCAGTAATTGGGCGCTGCACTAGCGACTGTTTTCGCGTTTTAAAGACGGAGGCACTGACTAGCTGCCACCTGGTGTAACGCATAATTCAACTAAGACCCATGATATTGCGATGTGCGTGTGACGCTTGGACCAGCAAAGGCCGACCGTCGCTTTAGCAGCAGGCGACGAACATCGTAGCGGCGGTGTATAGCGAATGGGCTTAATTGAAAAGTCAGTAAGAATGCCATGAAGCCTGCAGGGTATCACGAAGTTTATTTTAAGGGAAGGGCTAGAAAAGTGGGAACTCAAGAGCATGTTGGCCCCCCAAGTCCACGACCCCACCGGCTTGCGCCACTCGCCTAACGTGACTCAGAAGCGCTTTATTTGTACTTTTGCTTGCGAGTGAATTTCTCAAAGCTGCCTACAATCTGGCCCCGCCGCGGTGGTCTAGTGGCTAAGGTACTCGGCTGCTGACCCGCAGGTCGTGGGTTCGAATCCCGGCGGTGGCGGCTGCATTTCCGATGGAGGCGCAAATGTTGTAGGCCCGTGTGCTCAGATTTGTGTGCACGTTAAAGAACCCCAGGTGGTCGAAATTTCCGGAGCCCTCCACTACGGCGTCTCTCGTAATAATATGGTGGTTTTGGGACGTTAAACCCCCACTTATAATTAAATGCCTACAATCTGCTCGCCTAAAAATGATTTCAAGTTCTCTGGCTTTTGGCCACGCTCCCAAGAGAGGGCGTAACCTAACCGCCGCACCACGAACGAGCGTCACGGTACACCACAGCATATATTTGCCCAGCCGCCACGCATTTGAAGATATTCTATGATGCTCACAATGTGAGAACGTAGTCTTTACGCATGGAACACTCGATGTGGTCCTGGCGGCGCTTTCACCAGCAGTACAGCCGGTGATTTGAGTAAATCAGTCATTGTAGGTGGAAGGAAGCAACAAAAAGGGCAGGGAGGTTAACCAGAAAGACATCCGGTTGGCTACCCTACACTGGGGGATGAGGGAAGGGGACAAGAAAGACAAGAAAGAGGGAAGCATTGTAGGAGGAGGTTCTTGCATTCGATGCAGGGTCGCTGAGGCATAGTGCTTGGCGTGTAAGCGTGACGCAGTGCAAGCCGTCCGGTGCTTTTACGCGTGACGCGAACCTGTCTGGGCGCATGCGTGGTGACCGGTCCGTGTATTTCCCGCAGGCAACGAAGAAAACTCGCTGGACTTGGACTCCCTGGAGCGGCACAACATCCGCTACGTGCTCAACGTGACGCACAACCTGGCCAACGCGTTCGAGGGCCGGGGCCTCAAGTACATGAAGATCCCCATCGAGGACCACTGGTCGCAGAACCTGGCATCCTTCTTCCCGCAGGCCATCGCCTTCATCGGTCAGTGCGCTATCCCATCACTCACGTGGCTGGCGTTGCCGATAAGAAATTGAGACAGTGTTGTCGCGCTGCGTGTGGCATTAGCGAGGGTGACTCGCAAAATGTCCATTCAACACATGCAGCTGAACAAAAGTATTAAGGGAAAAAGGCGTACGAGGCGACTTTACGTGCGTATAAGTGAATTATAATATCTTATAACTCGTGCAAGTGAGCTATTGTCTCAGCTGTGCAGTCAACAGAAGTCCGTTAGAGAAATCGCATTAGAGTTGAGACATGAAAAAAAAAACAGAAAAGGAAAAACTGCGAACAAAATGAGATAGACCAGACCATATGCAAGGTGGTGACTTATTTATTAAGACAACTACGAATGCCAACAAGAAGCACTTATGCAATGCCCATCTGGGTAGTTGTGACTTCTAGGATAACGATACTATAATGACGAAACCCCTCTACGTGCTCTCATTGCCGCGCTTTGCGTTCGCTCAGAATTGACTGAGCGTCGTATAGATGGGCACCGTGCAATACTCGAACGCATGTGCGAATGGTCAAACTTGGCGGAATGCCAGTCTTTTAGCTGCGACGAGCGTCGGTTCGATCTTTTACAACTTCCAAACAACTGTTTCTTCTGTGTCATTTATTTTTCTTTATTCAAGAGGGCGCGCCGTATCTCGGTCTGTCGTGTCCACGCGAAAGACAGACTAAATAATGGTATACCTACATACATGGCATGTTGGCCCGCGTCCACAACAGAGACGGTTTCGTAAGCCGGTGGTCACGCTTCCGGCCTGCACGGACGCAGAAGGCGAGATTCAATGCGCGCGCCGTATCATTGAAAGGCCCGCTGCTGCTACCCCCGTACGAGCTGAAACGATTAGAGTGCTTGCCTGCCGCCAAGCCGCTTTGTGGGCCGGCTTATTTACATCTTCCCACTACGACCGACGGACGTCTCCGCCGCTGCAAATTTAACGAATGAGCCGATGAATGGCCTTAAGGCGTGCACGTGGATGGCTCGTGTTGCAGCACAGGCTATGAACCGCGAGGGGCGCGTTTCCGGCGCTTCTATAGCTCCGTATCCTGTGTTGCGCCACGTGCGAGAGTTCTATGCACTAAGTTGGGCTGTGAAGATTACACAAGCCGAAGGAAAGCTTACAAAGGTGAGTGCATGCTATTGTGGAGACGGTCCAGCTTGCAGACAAATAAGTGTCGTCTGCTCGCAAGCGATAGCCGCTTGTGCATACTCGCGGTGCTGCGAACGTCAACACGAGTGACGCGAAATGTGATGATGTCACATATTGACTAAATTTGTGACGTGGCTATGCCATCATCACAGAACACAATGTCCCACCGTCGCTTTGTCGAAGGTGCGCCGATGACGGAGGCACGCCTAGACTGGCTTAAGTGCAGAGACGAATAATGTAAGTGTACTGCAAATAAAGTAGAGAAAAAGATGGCTGCGCGCCTATAATGTTGCAGCATTGGCCGAAAGTTTATCCTCATATTGTCGAAGCTCGTGTGACAAAATATTTTGGGAAAGCGGACCCTGGTGCTTGCGAGGTGCGTGTTTTGCTTGCTGCGCATACAGGTATCGTGTGTGATAACACTGATGACTGGCGAACGGGTAAAATGTGACATGCGAAGGGAGAACATGGCGGATTCATTCGTGACTCCGTTGGAGTGACCTGTTCTTCGCACCTCGCCTCGGCCTACTTGGATGCCCTGTGAGTGCGTCGGATGCGCGCTGTGCTGTGCACATGAAGCGAGTCGGCCATGGAGCGAAAGTACATAATGGCCACCTGACGCGGAAGCTTTCTTGCGCGAGCGTCTGCTGCTGCGCCGTCTGGAAAAGTGCGCGTGCGTAATGAATGAGCCGCCCGCGTGGGTACGCGCACACGCACGGCGACAGATGCGAGGCCTCGCGTACACATACGAACGCCAGTCACGTATATGCCTCCATCATTGTGCGACCCTCGTGCAACGCGCACAGCCGGACGCTGCGCCCGTGAGATGGGCGAAACGTGCCTCCTCGCCAACATTTCTTTCTGTCTTGTCGTCGTCGTGCGCTTTGTGTATCGCGAAGCGGTAGCTGCAGCCCTCCGGCTTTTGAGTGAAATCTTTGAGGAAGTATATATGTCGGAATGAGAATTGTCCACGTGTTTGCGTAGCGCGAAAGAAGGTGTCACATGGGTACTCTTCGAAAGTGCAGTACTTTCTCTATGTGTACGTCTGCTCGATAAACATTAGTCACGTGACCCCTCCTGGCGAAAAAAAAAGTTTTCCATACTAGCCGCGCTAGCGCTGGCCAACACCCACAGGGATGAAACTTGCATAAAAGAGCCAGGAAAAATGGACGAGCGGGGAGGCTGAATCGCAGCTCAATTGGCTGAGCATCGGGAGCGTGATTCGGAGGTTGTGGGTTCGGATCCCAGCGAAGGAAAAACTGTTTTAGTCCGTTTTAGCTCCCGTCAGTTGCGGTAGAAACCATGATGCTGTTGTCAGAAACAACAATATGCCGTGTTGCTGCAGGCTTACTACTTTGACCCGATTGTCTCGTTGGTTTCAGTGGTTATGTCGGCCACAGACAAGAAACCCCTCGAAGAACTCCTTCCCTTTTAGACTTGGCAAGTGTTTCGTTACATCCAATGTAAATCCTTTTCGTGATCGTGAGGATGGCCTCGCTGCTTTGCTATTTGCCCAACTAATGGCGGTTAGCCACTTACAGCGTGTTGAAGCGTACTCTGCTTCGCATATGACGTGGCAAGATGCACACTCGGCTCTTTTGACAGGCATAATAGACCAACCCGAGCACGTGAAACTAAGACCTCGGCTGCCACCTGAAGCAAGACAGGTACCGCCATTAGTAGGGCGAATAGTGGAGCAGAGGAAAAGAGCTCTTGTCGATTATGAAAAAGAGTGTATACCCAATTGAAGTAATAATTTCTAGTTAATTCATTTGTATTTGCCTGGTGGTTTCCCAGCAAAACTGCGACGGATGTTTGTAGAGGAACATTAGTTTTGTTGATTTTGGCATTGTATTTTTGTATTTCTGCTTTTTAGGCTATTACATATTTCATTCTGCACTAATCATATGTCGTCGCTTTTCAATAGATTGTTTTTCTTTGCTTACCGCCGCACGCCAAACAACACGCTGGGCTGTTGGGCTAGTCAAGCCGCTTATAGGCGTTTTTTTTTTTTTTGTCGTCGTCCTCCTTTAAGCGCTATGTATGTGGTGGAAAATAAACATCCCATTTAATTTGACTTTGTGTTCAAAGGTGTCACGTCGGAATACGCCCACGATCTCTTTTCTGCACGTGTAGCAGGTCCCACAAAGTCCTACAATTCAGCGGCTTCCCTAAACGCGCCTGGGCCACTTGGATAACAGCCCCGCGACAGTCGCTCCGAGCATCCCTTGAGGCGGAGTGCATGCCACGGGGAATTCAGAACGAAAAACCAACAGTACATGTCCATACAGATCAATAAAACGGGCAGGCTGACTAGCATTTCTCTCACTCCTGTCCGAGAAATAAAATATTGTTGCTGCAGATTCCTAAAACTGAATTCGGTCGGAGTGAGTTCGAATTAACGGAAAATGTTTGCTTTGTAACAGTGGATAGTCGACAGCAGTCGATGCTAGCGAGGATAAGCGATTACTGAAAGCTTTGTAAATCAGCATTATTAGCGACGAGTTGCTCAACTCAAAACTTTAGCTCGCCAGTGCTATATGAGATCAAGTGCGGTCGATGAAGTGATGGACATTGCGTTCGGCGCCAGTTGTTATTTGTTGTCAAGTCATCGGACGTCCTTACACAATGCTTGTGGAGGAGAGGCGCCTAGAAAAGACATCGGCTTTGCTGCACGTGCAAATTCAAGAGAGAACCTGTGGCGCTTTTCTTTGGTATCGGCGTCCGCACGTCTTGTTTCGATGAAGCGCTGTTTCGAAGATACTCTGCGTGGGCGCTGCTAAATATGTCGTCCCCTCCCTGCCTCCTTCTACACACACTCTCTCGCCGCAGCTTCTCGTCATTCACAGTGTCGTGTGGGTGTATGTTCTTCGAGTGCAGCCGCCGGACAGTTTGAGTAACATGAACGAACGAGGCCGTGCGGAGGCGGTGGTGGTTCGCTTTCACCGCCACGCACGCAGCCAGTCGTGGGACGAGTGCGTAGGATCGCGACGCGCCTTTTACCTTCCCCCCTTCATATTTTCATCCGACTCCGAGCCTTACACTGCGTTTTACGGCGTTAGCTTGGGAGTTTTTTTTTTTTTTTTTTCGCGGCGGAAAACTGCGGGGGTGCTACTCAGACTGCTGGCGCGTGATTTTTAATGCGGCCCTTGGGCGGCAAGGTAGGCGGACGCACATGGTGTTCTTCACGAAATTTACCGCCCTCGGAGAATTCCGCTTCTACGAGGGATGAGCCCCAGAACGAATGAAAGGAGAAGCAACAAAACAGTATTGCATTTCCTCAGTACATAATTGCGCGAGCAACTACACGAAATGATTTTAATAACCGTAAGTGAATGGAACAGGCTTGCCAAAACAAGTGGTCAACGTGCGGAGTAATAATAGTCCGCCCAGGTGGGATCCCGGCCGCGGCGGTTGCATTTCTGGGGGAGGAATGGTAGAGGCCCGGGTACTGTGCCATGTCGGCGCAGGTTAAAAAAAAAAAAACGCCCGGCCTGCACGCAAGGTGCAGCACTGTCACAGCGAAAGTTAGAAGAGCGGCCTTTGAGAGCCTTCTCTAAACACTTATTGGGGGGGAAGTGGTTCTTAAAATTGGAAAAGAAAAGAAAAGTGAACCCCGCAACTGTCTGCAGCTAAGTGCGACACCTCAGCAGTGGTTCACATGGGAAGGGGAATGGGGGATATAGACTTGAGCGAAGAGAGGAAAGAGAAAGGGAGAGCGAAGAGGAAAAAGGCACCTAATTTCTGTCTGCCTTCAGGCGACACGCGCAGTGCCTTATAGGGGTGGGGAGAAGGAGGGATAAAAAGAATAGAAGGAAAGTA